GTCGCCGCTAGAGAAATGTTAGGCAGAAGTGTAGGGAAAGGCGAGGGCAACAGCGTAACTCTAGCACAGCGAGCAGAGCGTGCAAAGGGACTAGTTTTCGAGGATGCTCTGCCTGGTGTACAGTCCGGCAAACGAGCAGGAATGAGCGGTGCGTGGCATTCGTCGATCAAATACAATTGAATGTCGAATACTGTCGACAGTCGTCTGGGTCCCCGATCCTAACCTGCTCAACCTCCCCTACCCGGAGGGCATCGAGAAGCCAGATCAGACCTTACCGTCTCTGGAAGCCTTCGTTCCAGAACAATGGGGTTTACCTCCTTTTGACGACGCTTTATAAACTTGTATTTTCCTTCTCACGTAAGACAGGAACGGGGGGTTGAGATTATATATTGACCCAGTGCAAGGAATTCGACTATAAAGTACGGATTTTGTCAAGGGGGCCCCTCTCCTCTATGGGTGGTCCCTTATTAGGCTTGGTAATCTTGAGGATGCTGGTCAGTTTAAGGTACGTCGTCGCAGATAATGCACCACACTCACCTGCATCAGAAATACCATAAATACACTTCCCCACCCAAAATTGCATGTCTCCGAGCGTCGGTCTTCGCTTAAGCTCATACTCGGGCCAAGGTAGGTTCATCTTGGCTGGATTGACCGGTCCAACCACCATACACGTGAAGTACGGAAATCCCGACTTCGGGGAGCTTGCAGCGTCTATAGTCGCAGTCACCTCATCGAAGAACATGACAAGGAAATGGTATCCGTCTATAATCCTGAAGAAATGTTTCGTGAGCCCTTTGTCTGGGCCTACAATACTCTCCGGCTCCAGGTCGATAAATATTCCGGGGAAGGGCCTGAACAGGCGAAGACAGTGCAGTAGAGGATATCTCGGTGCTCCTGAAGGAAGACGATCGAGACATTGTTGTAACGCCACTTCCTCGCCGGACTCCATGAGGCACCCGTCGATCGTCAATTGCGTTAGGGCTGGGGTATGCAGGAGCATAGCTAATGTCCCTGGGTCGTTGCAACAAATGTGCAGGCGCCAGATGTGCAGCAAGTCCACGCTCTCTGCATCATTCACAAATGTGATCAATCCCGTCATAGCGAGGACCTCAAGTAGTGGGCAGCCAGCAAGAATGGACCGTAACTGTGGGTATGTGCACTGCGAAGTGTCACATGGGAAGCAGAGGTCGAGGTATCTTAGCGACCTGGAGGGCAGAGAACTGCATGGAAGACCGATCCCCACTAACTTAAGGGAGGATAGGCGCGGTGTACCGCCACTAAACAGATCCCCGTGGATGAGCTCATTGGCATCCCGCGTATCTCTGTCGTAATTCGTGAGGACCTCCAACGATTCAAGCACCGGAGCTTTAGCATCCCCGAACCGTTGCGATAGAATGTCGAGACCGTTGAGATGGGAGGTTCGGACTCGTAGATGTCGCCAGCGCGGTAGATGATCTGCCAGGAGATCGAACGCAATTTCTAGATTGGCGTCAAGAAGCGTGGACGGATCGACTATGATGTTGAGGGCAGAGCTTCGGGAACGGGCAAGGTAGGTTTGCAGCTCATTCCTCGAGAAGGAGTCTCTGATGCAAATCCTGTTCCAGACGAGAGGATCTCCCAAAGCCACTTCTCTCCATTGGTGGCAGACCTGCGATACAAGTGTTCCGAAATGTGGTTCACGATCACCTGCGTAATGCCACGCAGATACTCCCCAGCGGAATATCATGGACAGTAACTCCGGGGGAACGCATCGCAATAGCCGTCGGTCGTCCAAAAAAGAATCAACTGTAGCACCAGAGGCGTCTGACTTGCACAGTTGCAGGTGACAGGCACTGATCATTGCCCCCATAGCACAAATGGCCTAGATGTTCCTTGCTTCACAATCAGCAGACAAACTCGAAGCTAAATCGTGACAGCCTTCTGTCAGAGGTAAGTGGCACAACAGCGGCCGTTTGACTTACTGTAAGTATAGCTTGTTATGTCAAGGCGGTGAAGATGTTGGTATCGACGGGTGGAGGTGAGCAAGGGGCAGCAACGGTTAACAGCCACACGCGTCTGGTCATACTGTGGCACTTCATTGTTCGACTTCAATGTGGCGTGGCAATCTCGAATGTGCAACAGTACATCTATAGCTCCTCTGGGTCCTTACACCCCCTACTACTGTCTCTCGACCAGCCATCCAGTCAGAGTCTGTTGACCTGCTTCGTCCTTCTTCCTCCGTTTCCCTGCCTCTCTGTTCTCTCCGACTGTCTCGCTCCGTGTCATAACGTCCCATAGTCTCTCGAAATCTTCTATCTTCACGATCCCGCCGCTTGCCTGTTTATGACCTCTAGCGAAGTTATCTCCCATTTTTTCTCGTAGACCCGGCTCTCTATCGGCGTATGATCTCAACATATCAATGATGTTGACATCGACTGTAGAACGAGCCTGGCGAGCTATGCGGCAAGAGAAGTGCATGACGCCGGGTGTGTATCCATTGTTTGCAGCTATGACTACTTGTAGGCGGGGCGACTTTAGGTGCCCTGCCCAACGGGTGGCGATAACCTAGTGCTCTTTTCAGACGATCGGACGAAGACCGGAATAAAATGACGCACTGGATGGACTTGCGCCTGGCTTGATATACGCAGTAGAGCCACCTTCCCGTCCTCAGAGAATTTTGGAGCTACGTGAGTACATCTTTCCACTTCGGCATTGACCTCTGCACGAGCTGCCAGAAGCCGACGCGTATATGTATTGTTCGGGGATAGTATATCTGCGGGTGACGTAGAAGCTATGATAGCCTATAGGCAAGACGTTACTGGGTCGTCTCTGGTGGCTTGAGAGACTACGCACTTTCCACGCAGATTCAGCATCAAATGCAGCGGTCCGACGGGCTCCAACGCAATAAATTAAGTCCAGGAACTCCCTCAAACAAAACGGTAAAGGCGCTTACGAGCATTCACTAAGCTGACAGCTTCGTTTATGGCTTTCTTTGACCAACGTTTGAAGCAGAGTTTCATGTCTGGAAAGGGGGGCTCCCACTTGAACGACGTCCCGAGATCTCCGATGGTGCCCATAGCGCAGAGATAATCGCACTGATTGGGCACGGCTTCATGCATAGGAAGGCAAAGCTCGTATGCCAGTGTAGCGGATGTCGCCACTGGTTCGTGTTTGCAAGCCGAGAGGACCTTGATCGTGTCTAGTTGACGAAACCGTCTTTCTAACACGGTCATTGGTACGTACCAGAGTATCTTTTGGGAATTCGTCACTTTCATGGTGATCAATCAACAGAGTCTTCACAACTTCACGATTCTCTATCGCAGGGAAAAGAGGCGGTCCTGGCCGAGAACCTTGGTCCACGACAATAGCATAACTAGCATTGTGTGCCATCATGCGTTTCCGCGCTTCTATTTCATGTACGTTTGATCCCTTGGCCACGAAGTGGACATGCAGATGCTTCTCGTCCAATCCTAGAAGAAGCAAAGTGCGACGAATGATGCACCCTGCAGTCAGCCCATCCGCATCCTTGTCAGGGACGATCAGAGTCGTCTGCTGAGCGACAGCGCTTGTGGTATTGATGCGAAATCAGTAGAGAATAAGTGGTCAGTCCGAGGGATACAATTTCACCATTCTTTCAAATACGCGCGAGCAGCTGCCAAGGCCGTAGTGGGAGCGGGCCATTCCCTCAGGTTTTTGTATGAAGTAGCAGGCGAACTCGGCCGGATTATTGGTGTATATCGCTTCGGGGGCATAACCAGTCGTCCAGATGGATTCGATTGGTTGCGTGGACGATATTTGGTGGGGATACTGGCAAGCCGTGAAGCTAATGTCAAGTTAAATAAACAACTTGAGCGTCAATATGTTGTGAATGATACTTGGAAGCTTGTCGTAGACTCGGGGCGCAATTGCCAGGCAGACAATGCGTACGGCTCAACTTACAAAGATGTCCAGCTCTTGAAGCTTGAAACATGAAATTTTGGAAGGTGAGCCAGCATATCCCATGTCTCGCGCGGAGTCGGCTAAGTGACGCAACGGCTCCGATCTTAACTGGCCACTGGATCTAGTCTCCCAAGGCACCGCAACTGCCTCCTTCTTTGTATGGTAAGAGGGCAGTCTGCACTGGATCAGCCTCCGTGCAAGGTCGTATGGAACAAACAACATAGGATCGTGACCACCCTTTCGATCGAGCGATTGAGGGCAGAATCGCTCTAGAGAGGCTGGTCGATATTGTGTCAGAATAACCGGGCTGTCAACTAAGTGCTCGCCACCGCCACATTTTGGATCTGAGCTGTGTCGGACTACGTCGGAGTTTAAATATTGACCTGCCCTAAAGTTGATCCAGATCTGACCACAAACGACTTTTGTATTCGCGGACTTAGAACTTTTTTGGTCGTAATATACCGTTGACTGTAATTTGTCTTGACTTTGACCAGTACTGGGACGGGCGGGGAGAGCAGAGGTCGAAGAAATCAGGTATACGAATAGGATAGACTCACCTGACTTCCAGCAAGCCATTCATACTTGCAGAGCCGGGACAGCGGGGCCAGAATAGGACTGCACTCGTCAGGAAGCTTGTAACGGGGGCAAAAATAGTAAAGCGAGGCGGTATACGAGCAAGCGTGCCAGATGCGAGACTTAGACGCGACGCGACCGCGACGCCACTGCACGCGTTTGTATTGAGACTACAAGCATTGCTTACTGTAATACAAGGCTACTTACTCCACTACAAACGCTTCTTACTCGACTACAAGTCATAGTTCGGCAGCGTTCGGCGGCGTTCGGCAGCTCTCGGCAACTGTGGCGCGAGCACTTAGTTGACAGCCCGGTTATTCTGACACAATATCGACCAGCCTCTCTAGAGCGATTCTGCCCTCAATCGCTCGATCGAGAGGTTGGTCACGAGCCTACAAACAACAGGGCCGGCATGGATTGCATTCTACCTTGGAAGAGTGAAACGCATTATCGACTGCCAGATGAAACGCGGTTCCGTCAAGCAAGGAAAAGTGAACCTAACAAAACTAGGGCTCCGCCGGGGTTCGAACCCGGGATCACCTGCATGCAGAAAAACCCAAAGCAGGTATCTTACCACTAGACCACAAAGCCCTACGACCGTTTTGCCTTAGCTGTATATTTTAAGCATTGAATTCAAGAATCTGTTTCGCACTCAATTCTAAATGTTGAATTCCAAAAACAACAGCATCATCGCGGCCAAGCCTTGATGATTTTGTAGGCACGCAGGGCGGTGAGGACGGTTCGAGGCAGACCAAACAGGGTGAACTGTTGTCAGAAGGCAGGAGTTCGATCACTTTCGACTACAGTGGGACTGGTAGCAGTCCAACACGTCTGCTCAAGCCCTCCTTCGTGACCCCCCTCCAATCACCGGCACCTCAATGCGTCTTTCAAACGATCTTAATAGTCAAGAAGAATATCGAAAACAAAAAGCAAGGAAAAAGAGAAGGAGAGACATTCTTCACGTCTCAAAGTGCAAGCCGGGGATTCTATTGCAATGTCGAGGCTACCAGCGAGGGCTCCATCAGAAGCAATTGACATTCATTGGCATGGGACCTAAAGAGAAAGGCGAGCTTAAAACATTGACTGGGATAAGATACGATTGAGACGACGGAGAACTAACCTTCATGTTGTAGCTAGCGAAGAATGGATTGGAGGATGATGATGATTTCGGGTACGGAGATTCGGTCTCTTGGATACTGGTGCCAACACTTTGTCATGACATTGATCCAGAGTCGGTCAGGAATTAGCGATAAACCGTCTACTGATATTGAGCGTGCAGGACTGGCCCCTCGAACTATCTTCAATACAACTTCCCCGGTAGACTGATATTCGGCGAAGGGTTCCAGCTCCGTGTAAATCTATGTGAATCGTGTGTCAACAGCAAAAAAAAAGCACAAAATATCGTCAAGAACCTCGATGCACACACAAGAAAATGCGTATACATCGCTTTGGACAGTGCGGCGAAATGGCAGGTCGTACTTGCTAGGATCATGCAATTCCGGCACCATCCACCTCAAGGAGCCGCTCATGGCAGTACTTGATGCCGAGAGAACCGTATTACTGTCGGTGAAACTAGCCAACCCAAAGTCATTCAGTTGAGCATTTCCATCCTCGTCGATCAATATATTTGCCTGGTTCGTGGGTCATAAGAGTTGTAGTTGTATGATGAGACGGTACTCACACCACGGAGATCTCCATGAATGATCTCACGCTCGTGCAAGTATTGGAGACCTTGGCTCACGTGGAGCAGCTGTGAAAACATTATCGTACAGACGTGAATCTTCTGCGGAATAATCTTACCAACTGAATATAATCGCTGCTTGACAATGTCTGTTCCTGACATAGTCATTTATCGAGCCGTTCACCATCCATGGTAATACCATGCACACATGTGGGATCGGGAACACGTCCGCATCTACCCCGATTAGGGGTAGTACAGATCGATGCTTAAGAGATTGCCACACGAGCACTTCCTTATGGAAACTCTGCAAGAATGATATGTGAGTGAATGTCCATTCGCGTTATGAGAGTTAACAATATTCCACCTTCATTATCTTCTTGATTTCTGCAGGCCCCATCCTCTGATATAGACGCAGACGTTTCAAAGCAACCTGCCTACCCGCATACTCGCCCAGGAACACATCCGCAAAGCCACCACCATGTAAAGGGTCTTTGTTTATCAACGCAATCCCACGGACAAAAAGCGTGTCCGGCAGTTTGTTGAGCTGATATGATAGCTTTACAAGGATCGGGGACGCGAATTGAACTAATCTCTTGTGGGTGTGGGCCTCGTCGTAGGCTACTGGCTCCTGATAGATCAGCTATGCATAACGCTTGATTGATATGCGTGCAGTTAGATGTAAAGGTGTCTGCGCACTCGCTGAAGTAGAACCAATATACCCTCTGCATCAGTTGCGTCCAAAGAGAAGATAGTCTCCACGCCGGGCCGTGTGCGGATAAGTTTAATTATGTCTTCGGCCATTCTTGTCTCATCCTCAGCTATTGACCTTCGTATTGCTCCTGCCTGGGTTCCATCAAAACCTAAAAGCTTGGAAACGAATCAGATGCAACGGTCAGGAAACAATAGGGTATCCCTCACCTGTTTCAGCTGCGCAAGGTAGAAGCCGCTATGACAAAGACAGTGAAGAAGATCCCGAGTGCTCTGGCTTTCAACGTGTTCCTTCAAAATGCCGACGAACCTGTACACGCGGCATCAGTTGGATAAATGTTTCATTTCCAGATGTGAATGTAGTATTACTCTACCCTCGCCCGAGGCTTTTGGATATCCAAACTTCGCCTCATAGCTAGCAAAGCCAACTTCTAGTAGATCGGACATACACAGCTCAGCACAGCATACTCATTGGCAGGGGAATTGCTGCGCACCTGATAAACCTTCAGGTTATTCGCATCCGGTCCGTACGTGCTTTCCAACTCGTTTTGAACTCGCGCATTAGGATCAGGCTCAGTCGCACTAAATCTGGTTGGCGCCGCATGAAATCTGGTTGACGCCGCACGAAATCTGATTTGCGCTACTTCAATGAGGGTCCCCGCGATGCCAATGGATAGACATAGAGTAGCAAAGAGAATTGACGACATGGGACCTAGATGTCGACTCCAGTGATGGCACGAAGTTGTTCACTTCACGGACCTAGTCAAATACTAATAGTGTAGGGAAGAACAAACTTAGGGCGAGATGTGGAGAGCGCGTAGCTCTCCGCGCTGTTGGTGGTCCGAGTACAAGTTGCAATACGCGCTGAATCAGAATAAATATAGCCCAACCTTGAAGCTGTGTCAGCTGAAAGATATTGTAGAGTAACAGGGGGTACTCAATTACAAATTGACTTCAAAACCATTAGGTTTGCTTGTCTGATCGCTGTTGTATATAGTAAGGAAGAGTAGGACATCAGAGGTTGTGACCCGTGATTAGTCGCCGATTGCTTCGTGCTACAAGAACAAAGAAGTGAATCTGCGAGCAAAATGGCGTGGATAAGGATTGAATCGCGGTAATCTCGGTGAACGTGATAGTTCAAGGCACAGCAGTATGGTACGGGCTGTTCAGGCGGTCCGCTACCCTGCATGATATACAGTACGCGGCTCATTCTGTGTAGTCAATTCCCTCGCAGCCATTAAGAGAAATACACACGCGAGACATACAACATAATCTTCCGCATACACTACTTCAGAGAGCCAAGTGATACTCATACTCTGAGCTACTACTCTGCGCCAGCCAGAGAATCACCGCGGAGAGCATGAAACATACGTTCTGCGACATGTTCGCGTATCCATAATAGAGGAACTGCTCCGAGTACTCGCGCAGGTAATATTTCAGCACGTGAAGAGCCTAGCAATATGACCATTGCATCAGAAAGAAGACAGTTGACGAATGAAAGAATAATCGCACAATACTGCCCGCAAGCCCACCCGCCATAAACGCAAACCCAATGAACAGAAACAGTCTTGCCCTCCACACCGCTCCTCCATCCCCACTGAACGCATTGTCGCCCTTGATCCGGTCCTTGTCGATCAAATTGACGATGATGAACCCGAGCACGGAGCAAATGCCTGGCACCCAGTCAACGAAGCTAATATGAACCTCTGGGTCGACCGTGTGTCTTGAGAGAATAGCGGCATCCCAAAACTGCCAGTTCGCGAGTGCAAACTAGTTGGTATGGCTCAGCTCGGTTCGACTCCATCTGCTGGTAGAACTCACGAGAGCACCGGCAACGTACACCCCGACAGCATGCTTGTGTTTGTCCAAGGAAATGTTGGGAAACGGGTTGACGCATACGCGACGTGGATCGTAGTTGGCTCGAGGGAGTGACATCGTTCAGTAATGTTAGAGATCGGCCGATACGTTCAGCTGGAGGACGGTAATGTGCTGCGAGGCACTGATGGAGAGACAAACGTGGGAACCCGCGGGAAGACTCGTTTTCCTTCGTTTTCCTGTACTTTATCCACTCCGGCTCGTCCGACCTTCAAGCTTCAGCCCCCTACCGCAATGACAGGGAACTTCTAAGCTACTCCAGGTCTGCAGGAAACATGTGGTCTAGGTGAACTCTGGAACGTGCACGGTACAGGAGCTGACTTTGACAGGTGCCTCAATCGAGTCCTGCGCATAATTCAACGCAAAGTTAGATGCAAGATTTTTAAGGTATGCCAAATATCTGGAACTTCGATGCATGATTACGACTACAGGTATATAGGAGTAATGAAACCGAATTATTGCCTGCTCTTAACACTGAGGCTCCCGGTACTGATGAGGACCCGGCTCGTTGCGCAGCATAAATTTTACTCAACTGCGTACGCCATTCGTTGCGCCGTCTCTTCATTGAGGATGCACATAGAAACACGATGAGGTAAAAGTCGTCGTGGGCTTAGAATGATGAAGTATCAGCACATTCTTACCGTGTATGCTCTTATCTTCACCTTTAAATTGACTATCCCGTCTCGCGACTTTTGTGCATCAGCCACTGCATCCATTACACGGCAATCTTTATTAATGAGTCACCGACATCTGCACAGGTCTTCTAATGCTGTCCTTCGTCCGCGGATACACAGGCTTGCATACGATCAAGTTGACACCATATTTGACAGGTCATGTAAGCCATGCCCGAGAACAGCTGTCTACTTACTTTCGCGCTCCTCTTCAAAACACAAACAACGCAGGAACGATTGGCCCAGTCCGGTGTTTCCACAGATCCTTTCAGAGCTGCAATGTTGTACTCCGGAACGCCCGAGCTCGGAAACCAGAAACTAGTTTCTGTCTTGTAGAGAATCTGACAGAGTCCTTCGATTGCGCACCGCCCAATTCTGTGTACCCAGCGCCGGCTGTCCTTGCTCCCTGCCATCTGTCCTTCTCAGGCGCTACTAGGATTCTGCAGCTTCTTGTATCGCCTTGCAATATAACGACCTTCGGTTATTCCCCTATACGACTCACGTTTCTCTCGGGATAGCTCTATCCGAGCTGTTCCTCGCCTAAGGGTCGGAAAATCGGAATTCCCACAAACATAGCCCCCAATGATACTCCTTTTAGTCTCGATCTCCTAAACACGCGATATCGGCTCGCTACCGTCACTCTACAGAACACTATA